TCCCCCCGCCATGTCCTCAGAATGTTGGCGTCCATTAGTTGAAGTCTTTGGTCTCGTTAAGACTCCAGTTTTTTTAAAAAGTTTTTTTTTCAACTGTGTGAACGTTGTTGTTGTTGTTGTGTTTTTTTTCATCCCCTCTCCTGTAGTGATAATATTAATACATGTAACTCGTCCTCCACACTCCTCTCTCTCCCCCCCTCCTCACCCCCCCTCCTCTCACTGATACATCTCTTCTTGTCCCACATCCCACACCACACCACCCACTCCTTTCTTCACACACACAAATGCAATATACGAATGTAAAGAAAACTACAGCGTGTACTCAAAACAAGTACAAGTAGTTTTGGAGTATACTACAGTAATACTACGAACGAATGAATCAAATTGGACTATTCTTTGGGGACAGTTGAGGACAATTTTATAGTCATGCGAAAATTGACAGGATTTCTCGTTGATTTACCTTCCATCGTAACCAAATCGTCCGATAATACTTAAAAACGTTGTCATGGCCGTCACCAAGTTTCTGTTGTTGAGTATTTAAATCCCTTAGTTTTTTCTGGGCACCCATATTTTAAAAGTCACGAACCTTCGTGACCCAAGTCAGTAGACATTATTCGTAAACTCCTGAGAAACATGATGCGAGACGAGACGACCCCAAAAAAAAAAAAAAATCTCTTGCGACCCAGTCTTTGGGAAACGATGCCTTAGAAAATCTGTGTCGTGAACAGATGACCAGGTACATGTAAGAAGACCATCAAATTTAAAGGACACTTCCAAGAAATATCGATGCGCCGATGTATCGTGATATATTGTAACGTTACCTTTATATCACAATATATTGTGACGTTACCTCTGTATCGCAATATATTGTAACGCTACCTTTATATCACGATATATTGTAACGCTACCTCTGTATCGCAATATATTGTAACGCTACCTTTATATCACGATATATTGTAACGTTACCCCTGTATCGCGATATTTTCGCGATACGTTCAGGCACTTGTTTCTACGGCAGGCTATAATTTTGTCCTTAACTGTGCACGAATATTTTGAAAAAAAACATGCTCATTGTACTGCAGTATATTGCAGTATATTGCAGTATATTGCAGTGTATTGCATCTCTCCACTTCCCCTCCTTGTAATTCTCCATCTTAAACTCCACTTAGTCATATTTGTTTCTCCCAGGCTTGTGACTACGCTCACGTGTGTGTGTGTGTGTGTGTGTGTGTCTCCAGGGAGGCTACCCTGCTGCTGCTGCCGCCGCCGCCGCCGCCTACCGCTACGCTCAGCCCGCAGCTGTAACTGGAGCGACAGCTGCAGCCGCTGCCTACAGTGACAGGTGAGGTCACGACCTTTGCCGCACTCACACTCTCACACACACTCACACACACACGTCATCAAGAGACACGGAGTCACAGCTTTGAAGCTGCTCCGCTCTGAAGATAATGGACACGTGTCCAAATGTTGTCTCTCATTCATCAGAGACAACGTCTTCCACAGGATTAG